AGCGGCCACGGCACTCCAGTCTGGGCGACAGAGTGAGACTCCAACTCAAAAAAAAAATAAAATAAAATATATAATTAAAAAAAAAAAAGCAAACTCATCTTCCCCTTTCTATATTTTAATTTCTAGTATTTTTGATTTCTGTCCTTTTCTTGCTATGAGAGATGTTTTAGCCATCCTTGAGCAATCTCACCTGCACATCGACAGCTACTGCATGCGATGGTGCTCAGGGTCTTTAATTCTATTTATTTATTTTTGCAGGGGGAAACTTGTTACTATGTTTTGGCTAATGCTTAGTTTATTAAATCTACTATGTTAGATTTCAACAATATTAAAAGATGTATTTCAAAAGATGATATCAATATCCTCCCGTCCAAAAGTCCTGAAAAAGATGTTTATAAAATTTCTCCCTCTCACCCTTGCCCTAGTCACCTAATTCAGTTTTTGCCTTTTAATTTTTTTTTTTTTTTTTTTTGAGTTGGAGTCTCACTCTGTCACCCAGCCCTGGAGTGCAGTGCTGGGTTCAGGCGATTCTTCCTCCTCAGCCTTCCAAGTAGCTGGAACTACAGACATGTGCCACCATGACTGGCTGACTTTGTGTGTGTGTGTGTGTGATTTATTGTGGAGATGAGGTCTCGCCAAGTTGCCCAGGCTGGTCTCAAACTCCTGAGTTCAGGTAGTCCTCTTGACTCTGCCTCTCAAAGTGCTGGGATTATAAGCATGAGCCACTGTGCCCGGCTTTTTTTATTTTTAAATAATTTTTTTTTATTACGGAAAAGTTTGAAAGTACTTGAAAGTAGCAAGAATAATATAATAAATTCCCAGACTTAACCAGTGATCATTTTGTCTCTCTAAGCGTTCTCTCTCTCTCTCTCTCTCTCTCTCTCTCTCTCTCTCTCTCTCTCTCTCTCTTTTCCTCCTTCCCTCCCTCCCACACTCCTTTTAAAAAATCTGGAATATTTTAAATGAAATCTCAGACATCTGGTCATTCTACCTGTAATTAATCTAATATGTTTCTCTAACTGAGAAAGATGCTTTAAAAAAAATTGGATTACCATACCTTTGCTACACCTAACAAAATTAACTAATTCTTTAACATCCACTAAGACTTAAAATCCATATTCAGATCGCTCATGGGTGTATTTTTACAGTTGATTTGTTTGCGTTCTAATTCACCTCTCTTGAGGCAGTGTTTCCAGTCTCTTGCATCTTTCCAAAGAAATTTTTAACAAGTACATGTATATGTATTCATGGGGTTTTTTGTTTGTTTTAACATTAATCATAGTATATGACCAGCCTGAGCAACATAGCCAGACCTCATCTCTACAAAAATTAGCCAGGTGTGGTTGCGGGTGCCTATAGCCCCAACTGCTTGGGAGGCTGAGACAGAAAGATCACTTGAATCCAGGGGGTCAAGGCTAAGTGAGCTGAGATCATGCCACTGCACTTCAGCCTGGACTATAGAGTGAGACTCTGCCTCAAAAACACACAAGCAGAAAAAGATAGTACTGTGTACTGAAATCATTTGTAACATAAAAATTATCTTCATTCTTTGTTTTAGTATTACCTAGAATTGCCATATAATTAAGTGCCATCATTCACTCGCCTACACCTTTATGTCATTTCTGTTCTTCTGATGATGGTATGAGGTGGGTCCTAACTTGGTCCCCTCCTCCCCATTCCTGAAAAACCCAGTGTTCTTGAAGTGTTGTTTATTGGCGAAGTCTTCCCTTTGGCTGTCTGTGCTAGGCTAGCTATTCTGTTTCATTGATGTGTCTCTTCTATTGTTTTACTTCTAGTAATGCTTTATTATTATTGTTATTTGAGAGGTTTTAAAACAGCAAATAGCAGATTTACAGGAAGATTTGAAAAGAAAGGAAACAAAATGGTCAAGTACACACAGCCGTCTCAGAAGCCAGATAGAAATGTTAGTCAAAGAGAATACAGACCTCCGGGAGGAAATAAAAGTCATGGAAAGATTCCGACTGGATGCCTGGAAGAAAGCAGAAGCTGTAGAAAGCAGCCCCAAGGCAGATCATGGTGTGACTGCCTTGAAGAAAGGGGAGTCCATGGTAGGTGTGGCTGGCTGGTCTTGTCAGGTGTTTGGGGGGATAGTAAATGTTTTACCATTCACATTCATAGAGACAAAGTAAGATGGTGGGTGCCAGAGGCTGAGGGAGGAGGGGCAGGGAGTTTTGTCATTGGGGGCAGACTTTCTGTTTGGGATGATGAAAGATTCTGGAGAATGGGTGGTGGTGATGGCTGCACAGCCATGTGGATATACTTAATGCCACTGTAACTGTGCACCTAAAAATGGTTAAGATGGTAAGCTCGTGGTGTATATTTTATGATAATTTAGAAAACGTTTCAAGCATTGCTATATATAGGTGCTTTTCAGATTCATTTTTATAATTCCTATAAAGGAGATTTACCACAGTAGCAGATGGTCTCTGTTAAAACAGATCAAGTGAAACTTTTGCGGAGAGTCATGTGCGTATCCAGGATGTGGTCCTTTTAAATCAAGTCACTGGCCTTTCATTTGTCTATATGAAGAACTTGGATGTGCCAGGCATTGCTTTAGGTCCTGAGGGTACAGCAGTGAGAAAATCAGATAGAATTCCTTGCCCTCATGTTGCTGACATTCCAGTCGTGGGAGAGAGACTAAGAATAATAGTACAGGTCAATAAGGTGTGAGGTGGAGTGGGGTGCTATGGAGAAGCGAGGACTGTGGTGCCATCTTAGGTGGGGTGGAATTTGGACTAGAGATGCCAGTGGCTTGACCAGGTACAATGGTGGGTGGAGAGGCAGTGGTGGCTGGAGGAGTAGTATTGGGTGAAGAGGTGGTGGTGGGTAAAGAAGCAGTATTGAATGGAGAAGCAGTATTGGGTGGAGAAGCAGTGGTAGATGGAGAAGCAGTATTGATAGAGAAGCAGTATTGGGTGGCGAGGCACTGGTGAGTGAAGAAGCAGTATTGAGGGAGAGGTAGTGGTGGGTGGAGAAGCAGTGGTGGGTGGAGAAGCAGTGTTGGGTAGAGAAGCAGTATTGGGTGGGGAGGCACTGATGACTGGAGAAGCAGTATTGGGTAGAGAGGTGGTAGTGGGTAAAGAAGCAGTATTGGCTGGAGAAGCAGTTATTGGATGGAGAGGCACTGGTGAGTGGAGAAGCAGTACTGGGTGGAGAGGCAGTGGTGGCCTTTTGGTTGCCAGAAAAGTGGCTTGGGCTGTTGCTGAGCTGGCAGCAGGAACAGCAAGGAAGAGATCAGGAACCAACCACCTCTGCCTGTGCTTTAGTTTTGGGTTTGGCCCAGTCACTAGGAGTGACCACAGGAAGAGAGCCCGTGTGGCCTCAGAAACTCAGGAAGGCTGAAGGTAGTTCGAATGCCCACTAGACCTCCTGGTAGGTCCTGACCCAACAGCCATACGGGACAGCAGAGGTTGCAGCCAGGACAGAAGCTCAGGTTGTCTGGATGTGTGATATAGCTGGGGCCTGCGAGTGTGGACAGGGAGGAGCGGACCAAGGCCAGAGGGCAGGAGGTTGGAGGCCCCAGGTGGGGAAGAAAGGCCTCAGCAGGAGTGTGACGACCGTGTCAGGTGCTGCTGCTATAACAGGAGGACTGGAAACTGGCTATCGGATATGCCCAAGGGAGAGCATGTGACCCTCAGAAGACTTGTGTCTTTGGCTGTTGAAGAGGAGGGCCTAACTGGATGTGTGCAGCTAACAGCTCTGTGGGGGTAGTTGGCAGTCACTTTTGAAGAGTTGGGGGTAGTGGTCACAGGGGAAGTATTTTTATTTTTTTAAGATGGTAAAATTAGCAGGTGTTTATGTATTGGTAGGACAGATTCCATAGAGAGGAAAATATTGATGCAGAAGGAGGTGGGGGAATCACAGAAGCATGTCTTGGCTGAGTGAGAGGAAAGGGTGGGCCTTGGTCAGACCAGGCCATGACTCCTAGGCGAGGCTGTGGTGCCCAGAGGCGGAAGGTGCAGCATAGATTGGACCCGTGTGTGGGCAGCTGGCAGGGCATGGGGAGGCAAGAGGTGAGGAGGTGGAGAAAGCCTGAGGTGGTCATCTCCTGGCTGCGCTGGGGCCCACCTGGGTCAGAGACCATATGGTTAGAGTGAGAGTTGTTCACATTGTTTTTTCTTTTCCTTTTTTTTTTTTTTTTTGAGTTGGAGTCTCACTCCATTGCCCAGGCTGAAGTGCAGCTCACGGCCACCCCAGCGTCAACCTACTGGGCTCCGGTGATCCTTCTGCCTCAACTTTCCAAGTAGCTTAAACTACAGATGCATGCTACCACGCCCGACTAATTTTTGATTTATTGTAGAGACGAGATCTTGCCAAGTTGCCCATGGGTTCAAACCATCCTCTTGCTTCAGCCTCCCAGAGTGTTGGGATTACAGGCTGAGCTACTGAGCCCGGCCACATTGCTTGAAAAAGAAAGAAATTATTCAGCCTTTTGGGCTAGGGGTGGTGGAGATGTGGTCATCCAAGTGAATGCTGCCAAGTGAGTGAGGGCAGAGAAGTGGCAGCCTGCATGGCATGGGTGGCTGCAGTGCACTGTGGACTTAAGCTGCATGTGGAGGGCATGTGCCAGGCTTGAGGACACAGAGATGCTATGACTCAGGACACCGTGGAGTCCCGTGACTTGTGAGCATTGTCAGGGTCAGGTAGTTGCAGAGTGAGCTGCAGAGACAGGCTGTGGCATTCACCAAGTGGCGTCCCCTCAACCATTTATTAGGAAAGCTCCCTAAAGCAGATACCAGGTGAGGGATAGTATGGTGAGCACCTGGATGCCCACCCAGGCTCTGCTGCCATGAACACTGGCCGTATTTTTGTCTGTCTTGCTGAACTGTTTGAAGGTAATTGCAGAAATCATGGCATCTCACCCCTAAGTACCTCAGCATCTTTTTATATTATGTTGAGTTTTTGAAGAACCAGGCTTGTTATTTTTTAGAGCGCCCTATATTTGGGATCTTTATTTATTTATTTATTTATTTTTGAGTTGGAGTCTCACTCTGTCCCCCAGACTAGAGTGCAGTGGCCGCTCCCGGCTACCGCAGCCTCGATCTGCTGGGCTCCGGCGATCCTTCCGCCTCAGCCTTGTGAGTAGTCGGCATTACAGGCATGTGCTACCACGCCCGGCTGATTTTTTTATTTATTGTAGAGATCAGGTCTCGCCAAGTTGCCCAGGCGAGTCTCGAACCCGCGGGCTCAGGCAATCTACTCACCTCAGCCTCCCAAAGCGCGGGATTACAGGCTGAGCCACCGAGCCCGGCTTGGGATCTTTATTAATGGAATACTTTGAAGTTAAGGTTTTTGCAGTTATTGATAATTGCAGATGTTGATAGCACTGATTATGATAAGTTACAGGGTTGGCCCATTGGGGTGTGTAGCAGAGGCAGGACAGAGGACAAATTGGAACGGGAGTGGACGAGACATCAAGGACAGCGCTGGAAGCATTGTCACCTGGCAGGGAGTATGTCCCAGCCAGGATAGGTAATGGCAGGGGTGGATCTGGCCAGAAATGGGAGTGGAAATGGAGGGCAGAGAGGTCTTGGCCTGCCTCGTCCTAGTGTTTTCAGGGAGAGTTGGGCTCAGCGCGATTCTAATGAAGTGGGAAGGGAGCACCCAGGAGAGGCTAGCTTTGGCAGAACACTGTTAGCTGAGGCCTGTGCTCTCTTCCGCTGCTCTGTGACAGTCAGAGAAGACGGTCTGGGTTACCTTGACTGCAGCGTCCCAACTTGAAGAATGCATGTATGTCCCAAGGAGTCTGTGAGTGTGTGTATTGTTCTTTCCTAGATAACAGTTTGTTCACTTTAGCCTGTTGTGATAAATGAAAACAACATAAATGAACAAAACCTGTAGTATTCTCACCACTAGCTGAGTTCTGTTAATTTCATTCAGGGTATCAGTAAGTAGCCTAACACTTATTTCATATGAAAAATTATCTCTTATACTATAGAACCCATCTGTTCGATTTCAAAAGAGTCAAATTTCTTCTGGAACCCAGGTAGAAAAACACAAGGAAAACTATTTGCCATCACAAGGTAAGGGGCTGCATGATCTTTTTACAAAATATTTCAGAATTTAAAGAATAGAGATTTTAGGCCAGGTGTGGTGGCTCATGCCTATAATCCCAGCACTTTGGGAGACTGAGGTGAGAGGATTGCCTGAGCCTCTGGGTTTGAGAGCAGCCCTGGCAATTTGGTGAGACCTCATCTCTACAATAAATTAAAAAATTAGCCTGGTGGCGTGTGCCTGAAGTTCCAGCTACTTGGAAGGCTGAGGTGGAAGGATCGCCGGAGCCCAGCAGGTCGAGGATGCAGTGGCCGAGAGCATGCCACTTCCCCCAAGCCTGGGGGTGACAGAGTGAGACTCCAACTCAAAGAAAAAAGAATAGAGAGTTTATATCCAACTTAAGAAGTAAAGTAAATATAATTGAAATCTGTGCATCATCTTACTCCCCAAGTAATTTCTACCCTGATAACATTCCATACTTGTTTTTTAAAATTATTTTACTACCTTGTGTCCATAAATTGATATATAGGTTGAGCATCCCAAGTCTGAAATCTGAACTGCTCCAAAATAAGCATCACCAATCCTGCTGATATTGTAGATATTTCTGAATTTATTAATTAATGTCAAATTTGAGGCCAGGTGTAGTGGCTCATGCTTGTGATCCCAGCACTTTTGGAGGCTAAGGCGAGAGGATTACTTGAGCCCAGGAGCTGGAGACCAGCCTGGGCAACATAACGAGACCTCATCTCAACAAAAATTCAAAAAGAAAAAAAATAAGCCAGGCTCGGTGGCTCAGCCTGTAATCCCACGCCTTTGGGAGGCTGAGGTGAGTGGATTGCCTGAGCCCGCGGGTTCGAGACCCGCCTGGGCAGCGAGACCTCCTCTCTACAATAAATCAAAAAATCAGCTGGGCGTGGTAGCGGCTATAATTCCGGCTACTCGGAAGGCTGAGGCGGAAGGATTGCCGGAGCCCCGCAGGTCGAGGCTGTGGGGTCCGGGAGCGGCCACTGCACTCTAGTCTGGGCGACAGAGTGAGACTCCAACTCAAAAGAAAAAAAAGAAAAAAAGAATTATGTTGAATCGTATGAAATTACTGACATATGGCCACTTGGGACCTATAATTCAGTGACTTTCTGTGGTGTAAAGGAACTCTTCCTATCTCCTGGTGCCACATAGTCGGCTCTCAATACCTAGGCGCCTCCTGGCTAGCCACCTGCCTCTGCCCTTCTCCAGGCCGTTCTCCTGTAGCATCCAGCGCCTGTTACACATTTTAACATTGAGGTCTTTCAGGGTTGGGAGTTTTTACAATATGACCCCTTGGTCTATAGGATGAAAAGATTAGAGCCTCAATAAAGCTTTAGAAATTCACCTCAATGTGAATGGTGGTGGTTGTAGTGTGTGCATGCTTATTTTATAATGTGTGTGTTACCGGCACAGCACGTGATTACTGTGTTGGTCATGGTATAAAAATTTAGATCACAGCCACTAGAGCATTTAGGTTTTATTTGTTTGTTTATTTATTTTGAGTCAGAGTCTTACTCTGTTGCCTAGGCTGGAGTGCAGTGGTATGCTCACGGCCGCCATGCCCAGCTAAGTTTTTGATTTATTGTAGAGACAAAGTCTTACCATGTTGTTCAGGCTGGTCTTGAATCTCTGAGCTCAGGCAAACCTCTCACCTCAGCCTCCCAAAGTGCTGGGATTGCAGGCTTGAGCCACTGTGCCTGGCCAGGTTTTAACTAAATAGTTGGTTATTTGGTCAAGCCAAATTCCATAGATCTTCTTAGAGGCCTCTTCTGTCTATACTTTTTTCCTTTTTTTTTTTTAGTTGGAGTCTTACTCTGTTGCCCAGTCTGGAGTGCAGTGGAATGCTCATGGCCACCGGAGCCTCAACCTGCTGGGCTCAAGCAATCCTTCCGCCTCAGCCTTCCAAGTAGCTGGAACTGTATGCACACACCACCATGCTCAGCTAATTTTTTTTTACTTATTTATTGTAGAGATGAGGTCTCGCCAAGTTGCCCAGGCTGGTCTCGAACCCATGGGCTCGAACCATGGTCTCGAACCCATGGCCTCTCACTTCGGCCTCCCAAAGTGTGCTGGGATTACAGGTGTGAGCCACTGTGCTGGGGCCTCTCAGGTTATTTGAGCATCTGTTCTTTCCCCTGGATTGTAAACTCTCTGTGAAGAGATTGTCTTTGTCTTTCTTGGACACCTGGGACTTAAGTACCTGTATAAATATTTCAATTTGTCTAATGGAGAACTCCTCCAAATTAGTAAAGAAGAATATTGAGATAATCTTAATTATGAATGAAGCAGTTCACAGAAGAAGGATGTGAACTAAAGAAATATTTGGCCATACTAGAGAATTTTAAATTTTCAATTAAATATTAAAACTAACTCTGACAATTTTATTTTAATAGGAAAATCATCTCGAAGATCCAAGTCTGCACCTCTTCAAGATTTAGGCATTTTGGATAAGGAACAAGTAAAGCTCTATTTTTTATATTCAAATAGATTACCCAGGCTTGAAGTTGGTTCATCAACTGACTTAAGCTTCTAAACTGTATAAAGGAGGCTTTTTACTTAACATTGAAAACACTAGTCATAGGATCCTATAGTGTCAAAGTCTAGCTTTCGGAAACAAGTGTAGGTTTTAGTTCTTGAAACGTTGTGTCCTTGTCCTTACAGGCTGCCTCACCCAGGGAGCCACTTGAACTGGTTAACCTCCCAGATCCTGACTATAAAGAAGAGGAAGAAATAGGAGAAATACAAGGAGAAATAAGTCATCCTGATGGAAAGGTTAAAAAATGTTTTTGAATAATGGTATAAAAATAAACATGGGTTGATACACTTAAGATTCTAAAACAGTTGATCTTTACGATCTAAGGGTGACTTCAGTACTTTGGGGCTTGAACCTTGGAGCTCTGTGTACGACATGCATGTAGGTGCCATTTCTGCTTTTGAGAGCCAGTGGCAGGAGGCATACAGTCCCTTTGTGTGAGCTCTTTATTCTTGCTCCAAACAGCTAAGAAGGCTTTGGAATCCTTGGCACCTCTTTTAAGCCTCCATTTACCCTAGGCCTTCCTTTCCTATAGCCCTTTTGATCCCGATCCTGGTCCCGGTCCCAGTCCTGATCCGAGGCAGTGGCCTCCCTTCACATCTCCATCCTGCAGTTTTATTCTTGTGCGTCGGAAAGTTTCTGAGTGGGAAAACTGCCTGGGGGTTCCAGCCAAAAAAGGAAATGAGAAAGGAAGGGACACACAGGGGATTTGTTAGAGGAAGGTTTTGAGGGAATTTGTCCTCTTATTTATGGAAAGTTTCGTTTGTCAGATACCCTGATCTGATACACTTCAGTTGAAATTATAGGGTCAGCGTTCACTGTTAACCTTGAGGAATAAGGGAAGGAGAAAGGACAACTGTCCAAAGCAGTAGTCAGACTTTCCTATACAAAGTCTACTTTAGGGGTAGCAAATCATTGATGAGGAAAAGTTTTCTGTTTTAGAATTCCAGCTAATATATAGAAAAGGACTGAGAAAATTAGAAAATCACCAGTTGGCAACTCCTGATGAAATAAAGGCTCTTGAGATAATGTTTTCCTTTTTATTATGAAAAATTTCAAAGTAGACAGGAGAATTGGGCATATATTGGTCATGTGATCTCAGGAGGAAATTTCCCCTAGTGATAATCTTGTGGGTTTTTTTTTTAGGTGGAAAAGGTTTATAAGAATGGGTGCCGTGTTATACTGTTTCCCAATGGAACTCGGAAGGAAGTGAGCGTGGATGGAAAGACCATCACTGTCACTTTTTTTAATGGGGATGTGAAGCAGGTCATGCCGGATGAGAGAGTGGTACGTTTCCAAGGGGGCATTCTTCTCCATAGCTAACCACCTCTGGAGCAGAGGCGAACTGACCTTGTGTCTTTACAGATCTACTACTATGCAGCTGCCCAGACCACTCACACTACGTACCCAGAGGGACTAGAAGTCTTACATTTCTCAAGTGGACAAATAGGTAAAGTTGACTCCACCCTCTCCTTATTAATTTCTTCCTTCCCTTCCTTAAGCAATATTCATAGTAAATAACCTTTTTTAAACAGAAAAACATTTCCCAGATGGAAGAAAAGAAATCACGTTTCCTGACCAGACAATTAAAAACTTATTTGCCGATGGACAAGAAGAAAGCATTTTCCCAGATGGTACAATCGTCAGAGTGCAACGGTATGACACCATTATGTTCATAGAAAAAGCCACTTGGCATAGCACCTGTCCTTCTGTGTTTATAAGTGGGAATTCTGTCGTTTCAACCTTGCATTTCTAATGGCATGCTACACCTGCATTTGGGGGGTTCCATGTGAATGTCCCATAGGCATGTCACGCAGTCAGTTTGGTGCTAATTATGTTTCATATTCTGCTTTTTTGTTCCACTGCCTGAAAACAGGTTTTAAGTCTGATTGTGCCCCTTCTTAGGAACATAACTCTCTTCCCGGCCAATAGAATGGTTTTTAAGTTCATGAAAAGAAGGGTCAACTTTAATGCAGTGACCATTTTATGAGAGGAAGAACACAAATTAAAGGAAAAGCTAAACATTTTGTGGTGAAAATATACATTTATTAAAACAAATCTTTTCATGGGCACACGTAAGTGCTAATCTGATAATTGGAACTATCAGCCTGAAGAAAACACTGTCGAGAGAACTTGCAGTGGTACAGTGAAAAAGCCCAAGGCATGTCTCTAGGATAGTGGTCCAATCTTTTTTCGCATCAAGGACTGGTTTCTGGAAGACAGTTTTTCCACAGATGGGGGTGGGGGGTTAGTGATTATCAGGCATTAGATTCTCATAAGGAGTGCACAACCTGGATCCCTCGCATGTACAGTTCACAGTAGGGTTTGTGCTCCTATGAGAAACTATTGCCACCACTGATCTGACAGAATGTGGAGCTCTACTCACTTGTTGCTCACCTCCTGCTGTGTGGCCGGCTTCCTAACAGGCCACGCGCCAGTCCCAGTCAGTGGCCTGGGGGTGGGGGACCCCTGCTCCAGGAGACATAATTGCCAGAATCGAAAGGTGGCTTTTAACTCATTTTTCTGTTGCATATTCCTTTTTAAGAGATTTTATTTTAAATATTACAGTGATGGCAACAAAATCATAGAGTTTAATAATGGCCAAAGAGAAGTGCATACCACCCAGTTCAAGAGACGGGAATATCTAGATGGCACTGTTAAAACTGTGTATGCAAATGGTCACCAAGAGACCAAGTACACATCTGGTCGGGTAAGAGTTAAGGACAAGGACGGCAATGTTCTCATGGACACAGAACTGCAACAGTCCTAGTGCGACTAATCATGAGGTAACACAAATTGATTTTCTTGGTAAAAATAAATATATCTTGTGGAGTCTGTTATTTAATTTATAGAAAGTGTGCATGTGTTTATTAATGGAAAATATATGTTTGAGTTCTGAAATAAAAGTTTACCCTGTAGCATCTTAATTTTATATTCTTTGAAATGCAACAAGGATAGCTTTCATTTAGAATCTGCCTAGCCTGTCTCTCCAGTTAGACTAAGAAAAGCATTATTACTTTGTTATAAACTGTGCACTGGCTTTAAAAATAACAAATAAGTGCTTTTACCTGTGGGAGATGGCTGTACAAAGCAAGTAGCACAGGAAGTGCGTCACATAGATGTCCCACAGGCTTGTCAGCCACAGAGCAGGAATCTCAAGGAGCAGACACATGTCTCTAGCTAAAATATCACTGCGTTCAATTAGTACCAAAATTAAAGCACTTGATCTACACAGAGGTTAAGTTAATTGTAACAGAATGGGAAGTTACAACAGTGAATGAATACAAATGGGTCCGACAGTACCACAGGTAGGAGAAAGCAATTATAACAAGGCTGACTTTATTTTTCAAAAATAGGATGCTTGAGAGTGGAGAGGTATGAACAATGACTACCTGGGGTTAACAGCTGCCTTAGTGTGATCCCCAGTAACACTGCAGGCTCGCGGAATCAAGATGTCCTTGAAGGAAGGGCAAGTCTTTACTTGTAAATTTTTGTAATGATTACACATTGGTCTACATAGACCTTACTTGTCACTGACAGTGAGTCAATTTTTAAAAAACTGAAATGTATCAATCCCAAGTGATTTAAAAACTAATATGAAAAAACTGAAAAACTTTTCCCCCACATTGTTTTCCATTATGGTAAAAATACTTAATTAAAAATTGTCTAAATATTTAAAAAAATTTTTTTTTTACTTTTTAATTTTATTTCAATAGCTTGAGGGGGTACAAATAGTTTTTGGTTACATGGTTGCATTGTATAGTGGAAGTGAAGTCTGGGCTTTAAGGGTACCCACCACTTCTACCTGTGTACACTGTAATCACCCTATAGGTGATTGGTTTTTTTTTGTTTGTTTTGTTTTTTTGAGTTGGAATCTCACTCTGTCGCCCAGACTGGAGTGCAGTCCCGGCCACCGCAGCCTCGACCTGCTGGGCTCCGGCGATCCTTCCGCCTCAGCCTTCCAAGTAGCTGGAATTACAGGCATGCGCTACCACACCCGGCTGGTTTTTTGATTTATTGTAGAGACGAGGTCTCGCTGCCCAGGCAGGTCTCGAACCCGCGGACTCAGGCAATCCACTCACCTCAGCCTCCCAAAGGCGCAGGATTATAGGCTGAGCCTAGGTGATTGTTTTAAATCCCTTCCCCTCTTCTCCTTTTCCCTCTTCTGAATCTCCAGTATCCATCACATCATTCTCTATGCCTTTGCAGATCCTTAGTTTAGGTCCTACTTATAAGTGAGAACATGCGGTGTTTGGTTTTCTGTTCCTGTGTTAGTTCACTTAGGGTGAATTCCATTCAGCTTGCTGCAAAAGACATTATTTCATTCTTTTGATGGCGGAATAGTACTCCATAGTAGATATATACCACATTTTCATTATCCATTGATCAGTTGATGGTCATTTGGGTTGATTCCATATCCTTGCAATTGTGACTTGTGTGGTGACGAACATGTGAGTACAGTTTTTTTTTTTTTTTTTTTTGAGTCGAAGTCTCACTCTGGCCCAGGCTGGAGTGCAGTGGCATGCTCATGGCCACCGCAGCCTCCACCTGCTGGGCTCAGGTGATCCTTTTGCCTCAACCTTCCAAGTAGCTGGAACTACAGTCATGCGCCACCACATCCAGCTAATTTTTTGATTTATTGTAGAGATGAGGTCTTGCCAAGTTGCCCACGCTGGACTCAAACCTGTGGGCTTAGGCAGTCCTTTCACCTTGGCCTCCCAAAGTGCTGGGATTATAAACATGAGACACTGCACCCGGCCTGAGGTATCTTTTTTATATAATGACCTTTGTCCCTTTGGGCATAAATACCTAGTAGTGGGGTTGATGGATCAAATAGTAAATCTACTTTTAATTCTTTTGGAAATATCCATACCAACTTCCATAAAAGTTGTACTAATTTACACTCCTATTAAGTGTATAAGAGTAAGAGTTCCCTTTTCACTGCATCTGTGTCCGCTTCTGTAGTTTTTTGATTTTTTAAATAATGGCTGGCCAATCCCTTTGTGTCCCCTCCCACTGTGGGAGCTTTTCTGTCCTCTCAACAAATCCTGCTTTCTTTCTTTTTTTTTTTTTTTTTTTTGAGTTGGAGTCTCACTCTGTCGCCCAGACTGGAGTGCAGTGGCCGCTCTAGGCCACCACAGCCTCGACCTGCTGGGCTCCGGCGATCCTTCCGCCTCAGCCTTCCAAGTAGCTGGAACTACAGGCGTGCACTACCACACCTGGTTAATTTTTTGATTTATTGTAGAGATGAGGGCTCACCAAGTTGCCCAGGCAGGTCTTGAACCCGCAGGCTCAGGCAATCCACTCACCTCAACCTCCCAAGGTGCGGGATTACAGGCTGAGCTACCGAGCCCGGCTCAAATCCTGCTTTCTAAAAAAAAAAATTATTGGCCATTCTGACTAGTGTAAAGTAGTATCTCATTGTGATTTTAAATTACACTTCTCTGCCAGTTAGTATTGCTGAGCATTTTTGTACGTTTGATAGCCATTTGTATATCTTCTTTTGAGACTTCTGTTGATATCATTTGCTTTTTTCTTGCTCATTTGTGTGAGTTCTTTGTAGATTCTGGATATCAGTCCTTTGTCAGATATACAGTTTACAAATGTCTTCTCCCATTCTGTAAGTTGCCTATTTGTTCTGTTGCTTATTTCTTTGGCTGTGCAGAAGCTTTTTAGTTAAATTCAGTACCACTTACTATTTTTGTTTTTGGTGCATTTTGCTTTTGGGGTTTTAGCCATAAATTCTTGGCCTAGACTGATGTCCGGGACAGTCTTTCCTAGGTTTTAGTCTAGGATTTTTTTTATTTTTTTTTTTGAGTTGGAGTCTCAGTCTATCGCACAGGCTGGAGTACAGTGGCATGCTCACGACCACCGTAGCCTCGACCTGCGCTCCGGCGATCCTTCCACCTCAGCCTTCCAAGTAGCTGGAACTACAGGCGTGTGCTACCACGCTTGGCTAAGTTTTTGGTTTATGGTAGCAATGAGGTCTTGCCAAGTTCCCCAGGATGGTCTTGAACCCCCGGGCTCAGGCAGTCCTCTCGCCTTGGCCCCCTAAAGTGCTGGGAGTGCAGGCTTGAGCCACCACACCCAACTGGTCTGGGATTTTTATGGTTTCAGGTCTGACATTTACCTCTTTCACCCACCTTGAGTTTTTGAGTATGGTGAGAGAGAGGGATCAAGATTTGCGTGTCTGCATGTAGCTTTCCAATCTTCCAGGCACCATTTGTTGAATAGGATGTCCTTTCCCCAGTCTATGTTTTTGTCTGCTTTGTCAGAGATCAGTTGATTGTAGGTATTTGAGTTTGTTTCTGGATTCTCCATTTTGTTCCACTGGTCCATTTGTCTGCTCTTGTACCAGTAACACACTGTTTTGGTTACTACAGCCTTGTAGCATAGTTTGAAATCAGGTAATAAATGCCTCCAGCTTTGTTCTTTTTGCTCAGGATTGCTTTTGCTATTCTGGCTCTTTTTTGGTTCCATATGGATTATGGGATTGTTTTTTCTAATTCTGTGAACAGTAACATTGGTAGTTTGATGAGATTGTGTTGAATCTGTAGATTACTTTGGGTAATATGGTCATTTTAACAATGTTTATTCTTCTAATCCATGAGAGTAGGTGCTTCTCCATTTGTTTGTGTCCTCTGCAATTTCTTTCATCAGGGTTTTGTAGTTCTTACAGAGATCTTTCATCTCCTTGGTTAAATATATTCCTAGGTATTTTAGCTTTTTGGCTGCTATTGTAAATGGAATTGAGTTCTTTTGTTGTTGTTGTTGTTGTTGTTGTTGAGTTGGAGTCTCACTCTGTCACCCAGACCGGAGTGCAGTGGCCACTCCCGGCCACTGCACCCTTAACCTGCTGGACTCTGGCGATCTTTCTACCTCCACCTTCCAAGTAGCTGGAACTACAGGCGTGTGCTACCACACCCAGCTAAATTTTTGTTTTATTGTAGAGATGAGGCCTCGCCAAGTTGCCCAGGCTGATCTTGAACCTGCGGGCTCAGGCAATCCACTCACCTCAGAACACCAGAGAATTAACCATAGAGCAAAATATTAGTACACTGCAATTACAGTCATGTTCCACATAAAGTCTCTTGGTCAATGGAAGACCTCATATACTGCAGGGGTCCCATAAGATTATAATGGAGCTGAAAAACTCTTGTTGCATAATGAGATTACAACCTTCATAAGTTGTAGCACAACACGTTACTCACTCATTTGTGGTGATTTTGCAAACAAACCTGCTGTGTTGCCAGTTGTATAAAAGTATAGCACATACAATTATATACAGTACATAATACTTGATCATGGTAATAGACTGTTACTGATTTATGTATTTACTATGCTACAATACATTTTCATTGTTATTTTAGCGTGTACTTCTACTTATTTAAAAAAGTTAACTATAAAATAGCCTCAGGCAGGTCCTCCAGGAGATATTCCAGAAGAAGGAATTGCTATAATAGATGACAGTTCCATGTGCATTATTGCCCTGGAAACCTTTCAGTGGGACAAGGTGCAGAGTTAGAAGACAGTGATATTGATGATCCTGACCCTGTATAGGCTAGGCTAATGTGTGTGCTTGTACAAGTGTTATTTTTAACAAAAAAGTTTAAAAAGTAGCAAAATAAAATAAACAATTTTTAAATAGAAAAAGACTTACATAGTAAGGATATAAAGAAAAAAATCTTGTACAGCTATATAATGTGTTGGTGTGTTTTAAGCTAAGTGTTTTTACAGCAAGAGTCACAAAGCTAAAACATTTTAAAAGTTTAGAAAGAAACTGATAGTAAACTAAGGTTAACTTATTATTGAAGAAAGAACAATATTTTTAATAGATTTAATGTAGCCTACGTGTACAGGGTTTATAACATCTACAGTAGTGTGTGACAACATCCTGGGCCTTCACATTCACTCAATACTA